AATATGAAACATCTTACCAAGAAAAAAGCAAAAATCAACATCCTGCTTGCCATCAGACACCTTTGAGGTAAATAGACTGCTTCAACCTTTATCTGAGCCAAATTTGCATAAAATGAACTTTTCCATCAAGGAGAACTCACATCACCCTCCAGCTCTCCTGTACAATATGAATTTTCATTTCTACCTGAGAGAAACTTAACAATCTTTGCATTCTCCTGTGCCTAAGGAAGTGTGCATTTGCCCAAAAGCTTGCAAATAAAGAATTTTTTTTGCAACTGTCTTGTTGGTCTAATAAAAGATATCACCTCTACTGCACTGACTGCATCAGGAGGGAATTTTTTTCCTTATGTGCAATTGGCCAGATGTATTTTGGGTCCCCCCACCACCTTCCCCCAAATCATAAAGAATTGGCCACAAAGAAGAAAGGTAGGATCTACCAAGCAGGTGGCCAGTACTCTAAGATGGTACAGAGGAAACTGTTTTCCACATGTTGGTGTGTCTTGTTCAGATGCATCAGATCAAATTGATCAGCAGATTGGGGTCAGAAAGTTTTCCCTCAGATAAAATTGGTGGGGGTCTTTTTTTCTTCCTTGCCTACCTCTCCAGTAGGGTTGGAGTGTTGTTGTGGCCATTATAATCCAAGAAATATGTGAGAAGCTAAGTTTTTTTGGTGATGTCTTTTAGTGGACCAACATTATAGTTGGGAGAGATGTTAGATAAGCTTTTGGCACAAAGTGCCTTTCTTCGGTTCACTTCTTCAGGTTCCTGAACTTTGTGCCCAAAAGCTTGTCTAACTTCTCTCTCAACTATGCATTTATTCCAATTAAAGATCAAAAAAACCCCCAAAACCCTTGCTTCTCCAGCATGAAGCACAGATCACCTAGAAGGATAATCTGGGTTGATCTCAATCAGTTCCTTGCCTTTACAGGGAGCTAAGGCATCGGTAGTATACAACAGTTTAGTCCCCTGAAGTCTGAAATGAGATCTAACCCAAGTTATCAAGAGCTCAATATAAGGAATACTAAGTGAAATTTAGTGGCCCTTGGTGCTGAGAAGATCAGACTAGATGATTTGCCAGTCCCTTCTGGTCTTGAATGTATGAAGCATCAATTCCCTGACAACTTTCAGTATCCCACCCAAGTGGACATCAGTCAGACAAGATATGGTATTGGATGCACTGCCCTCTGGACGCATCTACATGTTGCCCTACAGTGACATTGCTACTGTGCCGTTTTAGTACTTCCTTTTGGAAGTACTAAAGCACAATGGAATAACTGCCTGTACTAAGCTGTATGTGTGGCACGGTTATTTTTAACAGCTACTTTGCCATAGTGGCACACTATAAAGGGGGAGCACAGTGCTATGGCGAAGTAGGTGTTGGTCACATGTAGACACCCATGGATGCTACATTACTGTACTGTATTGCTGCAGTGACATAGCGTCATGTGTAGATGCACTCTCTGTACTCCTAGGTGCTCTGACAGAGCACTAAAATATAGAATTGGTTAAATGCTGGAATAACAATATTCATGAACATTTATTTTAATTCTAAATGGCTGTTGAATTGGTCCCTTTTTACCTACTATTTGTGAGCTGCTATTTGAGTAAATATTGGGGAATGGCTGTTCTTCATATTTGTTATGCTCCTGTTTTAGCTGTTCATGCTGCAGTAATGACTCAGGGAACAGAAAAAAATACCATGATATCAGTGACCGAATCATATGTCACAAACAGACAAAGTGAACTGCTCACAGTCATAGACTGAACATTTTTTATTCTAAATTATTTGGTGAGTACTCAGAAAATCAGTCCATTCTCAGGACTCCAGATCAGTTCATGAATGATTTGTGAACAGAAAAGAGAGCTAAATTTATCCAATAATTTATTTACAATAAATAATTCAGCCACCTCTGCTAAGTTCCATGCTGAGACTGTTAGAGCTATCTGAATCTCTGACACAGTCAACTATTATATATTCATGGACCACCAGGACATCTCTCTATATCCCCTCCTGGGAAAGGCACCATGTAATAGAAAAGGCCTGATCCCCTGCCTGGAGTAAATTTGGGGAAATCTGTTAAATTTAATGAAGCTGTTTTCTAGTTTTCACCAGAAGAGCATTGAAACCTAAACACATAATTTTATATGTAAAATAATAATAATTATTTGCAATAATTTGTTATGGGTTGTATGTGCTGCACACATCTTTCTTATGGGGATGGGTATATAAAATTACTGACAGCTGTATCTTTGAATATATATTCAGTACTGTATATATTTATTAGGGATGTGCAAAGCTTTGGTTCCTGATTCAATTCGGTGGAGATTTGGCCCAATTCAGTGGGCAAATCTCTGAATCCAAATCAAACCAGAGGACCCTTTCATCTCTCCAAATCGAATAGGAACCTTCCAAATTGATTTGGAGAAATTCGGAAATATTTGGAGATTCAGACATAGACATAGTTTTAAAGGTTTTTCTACATACCTCTAGGCAGGGCTGTCCCTAGGGGAGGGCCAATCGGGGCAACTGTCCTGGGTCCCGAGCTTTGGGGGGCCCTGCGAAGTGGGGCGGAGCAGTGGTGGTGCAGAGCTGGGAGGAGTGGCGGCTCTGCGTCCAGCAGCTCACTACCCAACCATCACTGCTGATGCCACTGCCATTGCCGCCAGCAGCAGCTTCTTTGGGTCTGGGACTGTGGGATCGGAGTGGGAGCGGGGTCCCGCATGAGCTAATTTGCTCTGGGCCCTGCACCCTGCTCAGGTCAGCTCTGCCTCTAGGCAGCAGGGGCTCATCAATGCTATGATGCTGGGATGTATGGAGCGTCCCACAGGAGCATGGGGGGCTTCCCAGCATGCTCGGCAGCAGACCTGGAAGTGGACCAGAAGCACTTCCGGGTCCACCAGGGAGCATGCTGGAGGGCCTCCCTGTGCCCCCCCTGCCTCAGTGACTGGGCCTCCTGGGTCTGGGGGGGCACCCAGGGTCCCCCTGCAACTGATCGCCAAGCCAGGGAGACACAGAGGGACACCCCAGTGCGCTTCCCAGCAGAGGACCAGAAGTACCTGTAAGTTCTTTAAAGCTGTGTCTATGTCCGAATCCAGGGACCAGAAGTACCTATAAGTACATTTAAAGCTGTGTCTACGTCCGAATCCCAGCAGAGGGCCCCCCAGCACTCCTGTGGGATGTTCCATGCACCCCAGCATCACAGCATTCACAAGCTGAGCCTGCTACCTCAAGGTATGTAGATAAAACATTTAAAGCTGTGTCTATGTCCGAATCACTGATTCTCCGAATCAGCATCGAATCTTCAGATTTGGATTCAGCCGAATCAAATCAGGGACAGTGATCTGAATCAATGAATTAAATCACTGTCCCTGATTCAGGCCGAATCCAAAGTCGAATAGGGACTGCTTCGCACACCCCTAATATTTATGTGCATGTACAGTATTTGTGTAGGTTTCCTTAGTACATCAACTGTGTTTCACACTGGTATTTTTGTTATTTCTCTTTGAATCCCTTTGTTCCCATTATTTCCACACCTCTCTCTCTATTTTATTCCTATGCCTGGGAAGAATTGGCAGAACCTTTGCCAATTCTTCCCAGTTTACTTGGACATGCAGTTATCATCTTCATTTAGCCACTGGTGGTCTAGATCAGTCCCTGAATATCCAGCAGGAGTTCTTCAGATATTATTACCATATTTGCTTGAATATATGACCCTGATTATAAGATGTTACATATGGAAAAATTATAAATTTGTCATCATTTTCCAGGTATAGAATCTAATTATTGGAGGTTTACCTTGAATGAGTCCCCCATCCACTGCTATAGCAGGGAAAATAGATCTGGGGGGTCAGATAGCCCTTTTGCTCTCTGCTTCCCCCCATACTTTTTCCCCTGGAAGCCTCTTCCCTCCCCTCCTTTACTGTCAGACCTTGCTCGCACATGGAAGGGAGGAGCAAATTTGAAAACAATAATCTTGTAATTAATCATCACTGTAGCAATTTTCATATAGTACCCACACACTTAGTTCATCCAGAATTGATGCATGTCACTAGGGCTGTGCGAAACAGCACCATTTCATTTAAACTTCCATTTCACTGTTTTGAAGGGACAGTGTTTTATTTTGCAGTTTCAAAACACTGTTCTGTTTTGTTTTGTCAAAACTGTTTCACTGTTTCAATGAGTTTCGACATTTCGCCCATAGGCTAGAATGGGGAATCATGAAAATGTCTATAACATTGTTATTTCTGGCCTGATTTGGATGAAAATTTCAGGGACAGTAGCCCCTTCTGGAGGCATGAAGTCTTCCAAGTAAATAGGCACAGTGGTTTCTGGAAAACTGCACACAGCCTGCTGAAACCCTGCATGCAGATCTGGGGCCCGCGCCCTCCGGGAAGAGCTGGGGAAATGATCAGAAAGCTGGGGTATTGAACCAGGAGCTAGATATCAATATCAGAGCAGTCCTTCCCCTCTCTTCCCCCTCACTCTCCTTAGTTTGTGTTCAGCTACAAGTAAGCCCAGCTTCGAAACTTGAAACATTTTGAAACTTTTGAAATGCTTTGAGAGCCCTTGTTCCATTTTGAAGCTGTTTCAAAGCCTTTTGTTTCATTTCAATTTTGCTGTTTCGAGCTCAAAACATGTTGAAACAGCTTTGAAATGAAACACCCGTCAAAATTTCACACAGCCCTACATGCCATCTTTTTTTGAAACTGCTGCAAGTTTTAGCACAGCTACTCCATAGAACACTTTTTTTTTCTTTGAAATTTCATGTCTCAGGCCAAATCAGTTCCAAAGTCTATCAACTGAGCACAGCTCAGCATTCAAGTCTGTGTAGCATTACCACTGGCAGATATCCTACCATCCAGACTCTTCAGCCTGACATTTCAGATACTCCCAAATCCATGGCAGGCATACCATGTGCAAGGCCCAATCCCAGAGGCCTTGGAGTTCAGATGCCCACTAGTCTCACTTGCCCCTAGCCAAAAGGCCAAAGGAGCAAGCTAGAGGGAAAGCCAAAGAGCAATCCCCCATCACCATAAAATGTGTAGCTGAGTTCCTTACATTTGGAGACTCTCATTGGGGTGCCTGCCTGCAGTGCAATGGACAGGTATCCACCCTCTACACCAAGTCATTCAAGGCCAAAAAGAAGGCTATCTCTTCTGCCAGGTAAGTAAAACCATCTGGGCCAAAAAACACCTCATGGTAGTATCTCCCCTGCCAGGTTGAGCAACACTTTGGCACCTACTTATATATAGTACAAACTATACATAACACCACATAATTCATTAGGCTGGGCCCCACTAGAGTCAGCATTTCAAGCCAGGGTGACCTCACAGCTTAGCACTGTTCAGTATGTATGTGTACTCCAGATACCCACCACAAAGGATCCATATACTAATTATCCCACACTCATGACTGGAACCGGGTATTCTTGTCATGAATACTGGGATACTCCAAAATTTATATGCAGATGAGGTGCAGAGCAACCTAGTCCAGCTTCACCTCTTTGAAGGTGAGGCTGCACTATTTATACGTGCCAGGCTGAGACAGGGGGGTGACAATGATTCTGGGTGAACTGTTTGGGGCCCCATTTGGTGTTGTCTATCAGGCATTTAAGGCTGATGAAAAAACAGGAATCATTGGAAATGGGAAAGAAAAGCATAGCTCAACTGTGGGAGTGAAGAGAAAGTCAAAATGCATGCAACGTAGTGTCTCAATATGACTTTAAAAAGAGTTGGCAGTAAGGGGGGCTGAGCTTAATAGACACTGCCATATCTTATTCAGATAGATTGCACTAACCTATCCTTGTGGTAGGTTCCCATCAGCACATAGCTTTTTGGTCGCCTTTGGCTAAGACAGGGGTGGGCAAAATATGGCCCGTGGGCCAGATCCGGATAGGGGAGACAGAGAAATGGTTGGAGAATTATGTACAAAAAGTTATGTATGTTGAGAAGAGACATGATAAAGACAATATAAAGATGGGATTGCGGAGAGCTCAGGTGGTAATGAAGGGGGATAAGAGGAGTCCTGGCAGGATAACGCGCTTACCATCAGTAATCCAAGTAGGGCCACACCAAGGATTTACAATGTATTTTGGACAATCTAAACTCTGTAGCAAGTGTGAGCAGGAAGAGCACCTGGTAGGGCTGCATGATGCTTCGGTAGTTGATTCAATTCAGAGGAGATTCGGCCTCATTCGAGGGGCATGGGTCTCAGGGAGGGTAGCTCCCGCTACTGTGTGCCGCCACACACCACCAGTCTGGGAGCTACTTTTCTGGTGGCTTCTCCAGCAGCTCTGGTCAAGGAGGACATGAGAGCAGGCAGGTGCCCTCGGATCTGCTCAGGGCAGGCTGGGCTGAGCTGCACTCTAGGTGGCTAGCCCCAGCCGCCCAGGTGGAGCCAGGTCTGCGCTCTGGGAGGCTAGTCCCAGCTGCCTGCCACTGGGCAACCCCAGCCCCGATCCCTCCCTCACTGTGGGGCATTGATTTCCCCCCCCATGCTCCTTCCCTCCCCCCTCTGCCCACCACAACAGACTTACCAGATGGAGGCAGCTGTGTCCAGCATCATTGAGGACTGCCTGTATAGTCTATGGCCGAGTCTCCGAATTTCTCCAAATCTCTCAGAATTTGAATCGGCAGAATCAAATCAGGACAGTGATTTGACTCACCAAATCGAATCACTGTCCCTCTGAATTGGCAGAATCCAAATCCAAAGCAAATACTTGCTGCTTCACACAGGCATAGCACCTGGCCACATACTGCTGATACACAATATGCTACAGATGTGCAGGGAAAGGGCACTGGGCAGCAGAGTGCCAAGAAACACTGAAGTGTGTTCTTTGCAGGGAAGAGGGACACATACAGTGCTGATGCCCATGATTCTTCTTAAATAAAAGTAGATCTACAGAGGAGCAGCAGAGACAGGAAAGGGGAAGTGGGGAAGAAGACATTGCATTAGAATACATGACAGAGGAGGAGACACCACAAGAAGAAAGAGCTGGGGAGAAAGAGAGTAAAGTACACATATTTGAAATGGCACAACTGGCAACAGAGGAGAGAAAAGAATGAAAGATAAGTGAAACAAGTGACTAAGGGAGAAAAGGGAGAAGGGAAAGTGGAGAGAACGATACAGGAAGAAGCAGGGAGAGTGAAGACAGAGCAGAAGAAAGAAGAAGACAAACTGGGAAAAGAAAGAAATCACAAGCTATGAAGCTTAGAAAGAAGAAGGTGGACAAAGAGAGAGCGGGGAGGGAGATGGGTTGACGAAAAGCTCATTGGAGCTAATGTGGTATGGGTCTAATGGAGAGGGAAAAGGGGATAGAGGGAAGTAGAAAGGTGTGGGAGAGGGGAAAGGGGGACCTTTCTTAAAAGTTAAAGTAATAAAACAACTGGCAAAGACTATGAGGATGTCAAGATGGGGAGGATTTGATCCAACAGCATAAAGCAGCAGCATAGAAGACTCGTAAAGTGGTAGAGATATGAAATTTAAATGGACAAGCATGACTGTGTAAATGGCTTCTATAAATTTCAGACGTGTGTTATCGAGGAAGAGGAGGGATAAGATAATGCCAATATTGAAGGGGGTAGAAGAGGACACAATATGTTTGCAGAAGTGTGGAATCTCATGGGAGAGAGATTACAAGCATTTTATAAAGAGGTGAGGATGGAGACCATTGTGGTGGGTGGTGTTGGATGCAAAAAAGCTGCTGGAATTGCAATTTTGCCCAAAAGTGAGGAAGTAGAAGTGCAGCAAGTATAAGTGACTGTAGAAGGGAGACTGCAATGGATGGTGGTGGAGTCTGAAAATGTTGGAGATTTTTAGTATATACATGCTGGCTGAAAGAAAAGGAAGGATTGCTCTGTTTAAGAAATTAGATGTGTATGTAAGCAGAGGGAAGCAGCAAATTATGGTGGGGGGTTTCAATTGCATTATCAAGCATGGGGATAGGAGAGAGGATGGAGGGGAGGGAGAACTAGATAGATTGTCACAGATTGTAAGGGGCTGGAAAGGACCTCACAAGATCATCCAGCCACCTCACCAGCCACCCTGCACTAGGCAGGAAAGACAACCGTCCAGTTTCCTCCAGAAGATTTCCAGGGTAAGTGATTGCACCACCTCTGGAGGGAGCTTATTCCATAGTCTGGACACCCCAACTGTTAAGAAGTTTTTCACAGAGTAGAGCCAGAAGTGGTATTCCAGGAGTTTGTGGCCATTACTCCTAGCTTTCCCTAAGGGTACCCTGGTGAACAGTTGTTCACCAAGCCCTTGATGTATTCCCCTGATCTAGCAGTAAGCTGCTACCAAGTCCCCTATCAGCCTTCTCTTTTTTAGGCTGAAGAGGCCTAAAGGTCCCTCAGCCTTTCCTCATATGGCTTGCCTTGCAAGTCTCTGATCATACGGGTGGCTCTTCTCTGGACTCTCTCAAGCTTTTCCACATCCTTGTTGAACTGCAGTGCCCAGAACTGGATGCAGTATTCCAGCTGCAGTCCTACCAATGCCAAGTAAAGTGAAAGAATCACTTCCCTGGTTTTACATGAGATGCATTGGTTGATGCATGCCAGAGTATTGTTTGCCTTGCTGGCTACAGCATCACACTGACAGCTCATGTTCATGCTATCATCTATTATTACCCCTAGGTGCTGTTCAGTTGCAGTGCTAGTCAAATTGGCGCCACCGAGCCTATAAGTATGTTGGGGATTGTTTGTGTTGGGGATTTGTCAGTGTTGAACTGATCCGCCCAACTCTCCAGCCTGTCCAGGTTTGCCTGTATCTGCAGCCTATTTTCAAGCGTGACCATGCTCCCCCATAGCTTGGTGTCATATGGGAACTTGGCCAGTGAGCTCCTCACCCCCTCATCCAAATCATTGATAAAGATGTTGAAAAGCACTGGGTCAAGAATGGACCCCTGAGAGACACCACTGGCCACCTCTTGCCAGGATGACACAGGATCCATTCATAAGAACTCTCTGGGTCCTACCTCACAGCAAGTTTCCTACCCACATAACTGTCGAGCAGTTAAGACCACAATCCTCCAATTTTCCTGTGAGAACATCATGGGATACCAGGTCAAAGGCCTTTTGGAAGTCTAAGTATATAATGTCAACCCTCTCTCTCTTATCCAGGTGGCAAGATACCTGGTCATAGAAGGAGATGAGATTAGTAAGGCAAGAGGACTGTGGATAACCTTGAGAGAGTCCAGAGGAAGGCCACTCATATGGTTAGGAGCCTCCAGGAAAGGTCCCACAAGGAGAGATTGAGGGAACTGGAGCTCTTCAGCCTCCATAAGAGAAGGCTGAGAGGAGATCTGGTGGCTGTCTACAAATTCATTGGGGGGGGGGAGGAATAGGAGATACTCTGTTTACCCTCGGAGTAACTAGAAACAATGGCCACAAACTGACAGAGAGCAGATTCAGATTAGACATTAGAAAGAACTTCTTTAAGTTAAGGGTTACCAGAATCTGGAATGGGTTTCCAAGGGAGGTAGTGCTCTCCCCTACCTTGGAGGTCTTTAAGAAGAGCACCTGGCTGGGATCATGTGACATCAGCCCTCTTTCCTATCCAGTGGCAGACTCGATGATCTTCCAAGGTCCCTTCCAATCCTAAAAATCTATTAATTCTATTAAGTCTATAAAGACCTTCCCATGACAAAGTCATGCTTCCTGCTGTTCAGAATCCTACCTTCTGCAAGCATATCACACATAGACTCCTTGATGAATTTTTCCAGGATTTTCCAGGATTTTTTCAAGCATTTTCTGTGGGATTGAAGTTAGATTAATTGGCCTGTAGTTGTCCAGGTCTTCTCTCCTCCCCTTCTTGAAGATGGACATATTAGCCCTCTTCCAGTCTTCAGGGACCTCCCCCAAGTGCCATGAGTTTTGGAAGAGTTTCGCCAGAGGTCCCAAAATGACCTTGGCCAGCTCCTTCAGCACTCTTGGGTGAAGTGCATCCAGTCCTGCTGACTTATAGATGTCTAACTTTTCTAACTGATCACACACCAGCTCAACCTCAACAGTAGAAAGGCAGTCAATCCCACCACACCCTCTCTGAACCTTATCTTGCATGATTTTTCCCTTGATCTGGTAAAATACCAGAGCAAAGTAGTCATTCAGGAGTTCACTTTTTCCTGAGTGTTGGTAACCACCTGTCCTGAGGTGTTAAGCAGCGGCCCCATGCT